ACACTTAAAAATGATTAAAATTGTAAATTTTATGTTATGTGTATTTTACAGTTTTAGAAATGTGCAAAATCCTGTTAACAGTATGTGTAGTGCAGTATGTATTCACATTGTTAAAAATTTATAAACATACATTTTTAATTTTGTTTTATACCATGGTTTGTGGTAATAGTATCTGACATTTTATAAGCAACAAAGAAGAACGACAGCATTAATTAAATTCTAATAAAAATTTGAGCATTTGGTAGATGCATACATAATATAGTGATTTTCTAAGATATGGTTAGTCAAAGATGTTTTTACTGAAATAGCTAGTGAAAAGTCTAAAAATGCATACCTATTTTTAAGAACCAAATAGTTGAAAAGAAATTTATCAAATATAAGTATGTGTTCTGAGCAATATTATATGTACTAATAATTAAAATATTTCAAAAGGTATGATTTAATACTAAACAATAGTTTTTTGTCTCTCTCTGACTTTCCCTCTCTCTTCCACTTTCTCTAAAAAACCAATGGAAAATATTGATTGAGGATTTTAAAAAAAGAATTTAAAATAATCTTTATGTGAGTAGTGCTAAAAAGCCTATTAAATGGAATATTAAATGGAATCATATTTTAATAATACATAGTCATTTGATGGGAAATATTTCTACCTTATAGAATACTTTTCTGATGTATTCAAGAAAAGCTATTTAGCAACGAACCCTGGTTTTTTGTAGCACAAATACTCCCCTCAAACACTGGCACCCTGGAAAGATACCCTGGAAACACATATAGACTTGGTATTTAATTATGTGACATCCTAATGGAAAAATAAACACTTGAAAGAGGCTGAGGTACGAAGAAGGGAAAGGGGTTTCTATAACTTGCAAACATCCATAAATACTAAACTATGTCATTTTTCTCTTCCAGGTACCATAACCTCTTGGGTAGTGATTTTTATTCTGCCTATCAACAGTGCTTTGAACCCAATTCTCTATACTCTGACTACAAGACCATTCAAAGAAACAATCCATCAGTATTGGAATAACTACAGACAAAGATCTACTGGCAGCAAAAGAAGTCGGAAAACATATACTCCATCACTCATGTGGACAGAAATGTGGCCGCTGCAGGAGATGCCACCTAGATTAATGAAGCCAGCTCGTCTCACAGACTCCTACGAATTGTCACTAATTTCTAAATCAACTAGACTCAATTCCTGTTCATAACTGACTCTGACCCCCATTGGGATGCTTCAAAATGGATTTATTAGTATAAAATGAATGCCACAAAATTAATAATTTACATTAATGGCTAAGATAAATTAGGGAAATAAATTATTTTGATAATATGTATATACTAGCACATATTTTGCATAGGAAATTTAAGAAAAATCTACTTCAGAAAGATTCATTCTTTTTTTTAAATGTTTTTATTGACTTTTTTTTTTTGAGAGAGAGAGGGGTAGAAAGAGGGATAGAGAGATAGAAACATCAATGAGAGAGGAACATAATCAATTGGCTGCCTCTTGTACAGTCCCACTGGGGATCAAACCCACAGTCCGGGCATGTGCCCTCACTGGGAATCGAACTGATGGGTTGACGCTCAACCACTGAGCCACACCAGTCAGGCCATTCATTCTTTTTGCATTTCTTGAGTACCCACTATATGCATGGCACTGCAGTAAATTCCTGGAAGTAGACAGTATAGAACCTTCTGAATGTTCAATGTTAAATTTTGTTTACAACCAAATATACATAGTGCATCTGCAGCTCCTATGTTAAGGTAGAGCTTTATCTGTCATGCATATCATGGACACTTTCAAATAAGGGTTTAATATACAGTATAATAGCATCAGAGAAAATGTCTGATTGTTTGCAAAATATTCTGTTTTAAGAATTCATCTTAACTCTCTTCAAGTCTTCATACACTTTAGAGCCAACATGTATTTATTACTATGAAAAAAAAAATGTTCTGATATTAATTCAAAACAGCACTTCTGCCATAGAAAACAGGTCAGTGGTTCCTCAAAAGCTTATCATACAATTACCATATGCTCCAGCAATTTCAGTCCTAGGTATGAACCAAAGAGTTGAAAACAGGACTCGGATACTTGCATGCAAGTGCTCTTTGCAGCATTACAAACAGTAGTCAATATATGGAAGCAACCCAAGTGCCTATCAACTGATGAACAGATAAACAAAATGTAGTTTATACATGTGATGGAATATTATTCAGCCATAAAAAGGAATTAAGTTCTGACACATGCTACATGATGAATGTGAAATAAGCCAGCCAATAGGACAAATACTGTATGATTCCACTTGCATGAAATATTTGAATAAGCGAAGTCATAGAGACAGAAAGATTAGAGTTTACTGGGGGTGGGAGGGTTGGGAGGGTGATGCTTAAGAAGTGGAGAATATCTTTTTTGGGCAAAGGAAAAAGTTCTAAAATTGATTATGGTAATGGATAAATAACTGCGATTATACTAAAAGCCACTGAATTATAAACTTTAGATTGGTGAATTTTATGGAGACATGAATTATATCTCAATAAAGCAGTTAAACAGAAAAGAAAGAAGAGCTAGAATGTACATTCAGGAACTTAACTTCAGGAAGGAAAAATCTAAGTACATGTTTTGCTCTAAAGACAAAATAGTTGTCATCAAGAGATGGATTCACCTTGTTTGCACGGCCAACCAGATCTTAAGATGCTACTTTTTTGCTAGTTAATTCTTCTGGTCTCTGAGCTATAGGAATCTTATGCTTTCAGAATTTAAAACCTTTAAAAAGGAATAAAATGTTTTCAAGTAGTTTTAACTACAACAAAAATGTTTGAAACATGAAAATACTGGACTCAAAAACATATTTATTGAGTATATAATTGTATAGGTTTATTTTGAAAATAAATTACCTGAAAATTAATTCTATTAAAAATATGGATTGCTTTGAGTCCTTCCTGTTCTCTTAAAATGGTTCCAGTTTTTCTGCATGAGGAATGTGGTATACTTTCAATAAAAATCAAATAGAAAGCTATAATTCTGCTTATAATATTAAATTAACTACTTAGATTATTAATATTTTTAAAAGCTTACAAAAGTACAAATACATTTAAATTATTTGTTCGGATTATTTATTAAATTTTACTATTTTTTTTAACACCTCTTGATAATTTTTTTAAATTTTTATTGATTTGTTGTTCCACTTACTTATGCATTCATTGGTTTATGCTTGTATGTACCCTGACTGGGATCAAACCTGCAACCTTGACATATCAGGAGGACGGTCTAACCAACTGAGTATTATTACTAAAGTATTATTACTATTATTGAATAATGGAATGGAAAATTATTTTTCTTAAAAAGAGTATCTAGAAAAGAAAAAGCAGTAATCATGAAGACATAATAGATAAAATGTATTCCTATGAAAATTAAGATTGTGAGTCTTAGAAATTCTGTTAGTATTAAGCGTCTTTGAATTGCTGAGAGTTATAAAAATATACATCTGAAACTACCTGTTAACATCTAAAATGTTCTCAAATGTTTTTCTGGAAGCCATTTGGTTTTCTGTTTAATTCACTCACTCTTCCATCCTTCCACCTCTCCAAATGAGTAACTTCTATACATACACAGATCTGAAGAAAATATAGCCAAATGTTAACATTTATTAAATCTGTATGGTGGAAATGCATTGGTGTCCATTAGATCATTCACCTTTCCTGTTATGTTTGAAAATATTTCAATAAAAAATTTTAGAGTAATGAACCCAAGAAAATGGAAATTTGCTTTTAACAAATTTATTTTTGTACATTTTAATTTCAATTTTCATGATATATAAAAAATATTTTCTAATATCAAAATAAGCATCTCTATGGTACAGGTACATACCATGTGTTACCTTTAACTTTAAAAAAATTAATCAAGTACTATGACTTAATATGCTAAACAAAACTATTTGCCCATCCATTTGTCCCCTTTCATAGCCCCATTGTGGAGTTTTAGAATACAGTTTTGTACACATCTCCATAACTACAAAGAATAAGATGCTATATCAAAGATGTCCAGAGTTACATAGTAGAGAATTAGTGGGCTTAATCATTGACATATGACACAAACAACCAGAGAGAGAGAGGAAAGCAACATAAGCTATAGGACAAGTAAAATAAAACATTGTCAATAAAGTCAAATAATATGAAAAAAATCACATCATTTAAATTTGATGCATTAAAAACAATAACTTCTTTAAAATTATATTTAGAATTAAGAATTATTACTTACAAAGCTCCAAAAGTAATAGTTAGTACAGAGCCATAATTGTGATAAGGCACTTTAAAGAGAACAATCAAAGACCTAACAACATGGAATGCAAGAAATATTATCTGTAGAAGCAGTTAATCTTAGAAATAAATATGGGGGGAAATATGCATTCTTTCTATACATGCTTTCATTTTCTGAAGTAAAAGCTGTTTTAAAAAGCATCCTAGAGGGCAAAAAATATTTAGCATATATTTTAAAAAGCTGTCATCAGTAAAAGTTCAAATCTCCATTTAAAAAAAATGTTTTCCTGCAAGTCAATGAGGTTGACTCTTTTATGTGACACTGTCCTAGGTGCTGGGGATTGGTCTAGAGAAGTTAACCTAATGGAGCTGGATCTAACATTACTAACCTTAAAGTTACCTTCTTTGGTAACTTTAAACTCTGCCATTCTTGCCATCTTCTTGCAAATCAAATAAAATAATGTTCTACCTCGTTTGCTCCTAGTAACACTGTGGTATTTTTGTCTACTGATGAAATTAACTTTCATAAAAGATTCTATGAAAGTTTAGTCAGAAGATTAAGCAAATATTAGCCGGCATCAAAAATAACATCAGGCCCTAAGCGGTTTGGCTCAGTGGATAGAGCGTGGGCCTGAGGACTGAAGGGTCGCAGGTTCGATTCCGGTCAAGGGCATGTACCTTGGTTGTGGGCACATCCCCAGTAGGGGGTGTGCAAGAGGCAGCTGATGGATGTTTCTCTCTTATCGATGTTTCTAACTCTCTATCCCTCTTTCTTCCTCTATGTAAAAATGTCAATAAAATATATTTAAAAAATAACATCAGTATTCTGCTTTCACAAAAGTGAAGAGAACCAAGAAAAATTCCATTTTGAGTGTACAGAACTACTGGGGATTCTCCTATACATATGATACATGTGAAAATATCATAAATGAGGACGTATGAGTTATTCCACAGCTAAATCAGTTGTCAGGCTTCAGAGAATTGTAACCTTCCTTCAAGAGGTCCCGCCATGTTTTCAGGAAACGTGCATTTTCTGTACATTTCAAAGCAAGCTCTTCCACTTGAGCTGATACTGCAGATGTGGCTTCAAGTAGTTTGGTCAATGAAAATGCTGCCTGAAATTATATTTTTTTAAAAAGTCAAACAATAGAAGTTTATTCTTTAAATTTTCATTTCATCTTATAGTCTAAAAATAGCTTAAAACCAATGCCTAAATTATTTTCTTTAAAAGTAAAAAATCTGCAAACTAAAAACAGATACTCTGAGCTAACAAAATCAACACAATCAAAATACATGCAGAAAATATCCAACTCTTGGTGGAAAACTAACTTCTTAAATGTTTTCTTCATATAAACAACACGGACATAAAATAACACTGTTCCTAGATAACTCATCTGCCCTCCTTTGTACATATTCACTTGAAACCAGTCTTGCTCAGCAAAAACAGAAGCTGTGTCAGCATTTTGTTAAAAAACAACAACACAGCCCTAACCGGTTTGGCTCAGTGGATAGAGCGTCGGCCTGCGGACTCAAGGGTCCCGGGTTCGATTCCAGTCAAGGGCATGTACCTGGGTTGCGGGCACATCCCCAGTAGGGAGTGTGCAAGAGGCAGCTGATCGATGTTTCTCTCTCATCGATGTTTCCAACTCTCTATCCCTCTCCCTTCCTCTCTGTAAAAAAAATCAATATATTAAAAAACACACACACACACAAATACTTGAGCCATGATATAATCCAGTTCATTCCCCAGTTTCCAATCTGCACAGGCGGGTCTATTCCACAAACGTCTCCCAGGAAGACTACACCTCATTCACTAAATACTTCATTCTTCCTCACCCACTCAGGAGTCCTTAAATACGGAAACGGTGACCCCCTCCGATGATGTCTTATGTGTTACGGTTTCAGGTGTGTGTGTGTGCTCGAGCGCTCGCACAGGGGCATTAGTTTCTGGAAATTCGAGATTCAACAGAAACCAACCAGTCAAAGATCCCTCCCTGTGATTCCCAGAACCGTTAAATGAAACAATCTGGGCTACGGGGCGGGGACTAACCCCTCCAAACTGGGTCCAGCGGGAAGCCAGCCTGAGAAAGACAACAGCCTTGTCAGCTGGCTCTGGGCAGGTGGCCAACCAGAACAGCGGGCTCTCGGGTCCCGCGGAGCGAGAAGTCACAGCCTGACCCACAGACAGCACGGGGGGAGGGGGAGGAGGGGGGGCAGACAGAGCCAGCACAGTCCTGGCAGCAGAGCGCGTGGTTTCGGGTTACAGGGATGATGGGAACCAGAAGGCGAGGCAGAAAGACGGAGGGATGGGGATGGTGGGGGCACCCCCCTAATTCCCCCACGCTAAATCTAAAGGCGGATTCCGTCCTTCTGCGCGTTAGGATTCCCAGCCCCTCGCTCCCGGACCCCGCCGCGGTCTGTCTGCCAACAGGCGCGGGCTGGGCACGCGGTCGGGGCACCTGTCCCCGCCACTCACGTCTCCGATCTGCAGCTCCACTTCCTCCAGCCGGTCCACCGTTGGGCTCCTGCTCGGAACTGGCCAGTCCAGACTCACTGGGATGCCGGGGGAAGATGTGGAAGAGGCTTCAGAAGACGAGGGAGAGAAGGAAGGTGGCGGGGGCTGCGAAGAAACCCGCGCCTCCTCGGGGTCTGCCATGGAGAAGTGCTGGGACGGCCGAATCGGAACTTATCGGAACCGACACCAACCGCCTTTAAACTGCTCGCGCCCTAAGGCCAGAGGCCCCGCCTCCTCTCCCCCGAAATCCCGCCCCGTCTCCTGGGCGTCTGCCCAATACCGAAAACGGCATTTTTTCTGGACAGCCTATCAGATATCAGTGGATTCACCGTGGGCAGCTCGCTGCTCCAGCGCAAAGCTCCTTACGGGCTTACCCGGCTCTTCAGCAGAAGACTACAACTCCCAGGATGCCGTGCGCGTTGCTTCGCTTCTCGCTGCCTTTGGCTGCGTGCGCGGTGCACCATGGGGCTTGGGAGATGGCAGGACAGCCTCAATCCACCACCAGAGGCCGCGGGACACGACCCGGAAGCCTCGGCTGGCCGCTGCGTCACGCGTGGCGCCGGCGCAGAACGAGAAAGAGGCGGGAACGCCGTGAAGCCTGAGAGGTGGGCTGAGCAGAGAGGCAGGTTTCAGCAGAGTGGTTGGTGCTTCCCGGCAGGTAATGGCGCCCCCCGAGGCCTAGAGGTCCAGCGCCCGCGGCGAGCCACTGGCAGTCCTCCTTCCGCTGGTGTCCGACGAAGAGTCCCGATGACAGTGAACATGTTGGTGCCACTAGCCAAGCTGTCCTGCCCGGGTGAGAGGGCATTTCGGGAGGGGAATTAGCGGGGAAAGGTCGAGTAGTTTAGGGGGAAAGGGTCACAGGTAGGGGCTGTCGGCACCTGTCTCCTCCCGCTTCTCCTCCGGTCGCTTTCCGAAGCCAACCTACGACGAAGGTCACGCCGCCTGCACCTGGCGGTGGACCCCGGGATCCTCCGGGGCTTGGCCGTCCGCAGCCGGAGAACGGACAACTAGGGGAAAGGTCGTGGGCCGGGGAAACGTCTGCACACGGGCCCCCGGTGGACGCCCGGACCGAATCGTCCCGGATTCTGGCTCGGACCCTTACCCCAAGGCTCAGGTGTTAGCTGTGGCACCGCTGGAAATGGGTAGGAGAGTATTTGCGCAGGTTTTCTCCTGGGTCTCGACCTGAGTTGCGTCTTTGCCGCCAACCTCACATATGAATGTTAATCGTGATGATTAACATTCATGTGTGCCGCCTAAGTCACCAAATTATTTCGAGCGCCCGGAGTTTTTCTGCATTGTGTAAAATTAACTCGAGGGGCTCATCGTGTTGTGGGCGTCCCTAGCACCCCCACGATGACTTGTGAAAATACCACATTACCTCTCCTGTCACTTAAAAAAAAAAGGTAGAATGATGCACTGGGATGGTGTTTTGTTTTGTTTTGTTTTGTTTTGTTTTACTTAACAAAACAAAAAATTCCCTCCAAAAAAGTTCACTTACAGGATCTTGAATTCTCTCACATCTGGCTTAATATTTCTCTAGTCTGATTTAAGTTAATTTTCGGATATGGAATAAACAAGTATACCTATTGCAACTTCAAAGATGTTCTTATTATGTAAATTTCATTTAAGTGGAATTCTGTCAAAGTTGGCCATTATATATTAAATAAGTAAAATTTTCTTTCAAGTTCATTTTACGCATGCATGTATTACTACACTTAATGTGTAGATATGTTGTGGGGTTTTTTGTTCTTGTTTTTAATATAAAAGTAGTCAGATGCTGCTCTCTGCCCTACTGCCTAATTTAGTTGAAGTTAGAAGTCATTCTTCGGCCAAGTGCTAACATAATTCCACCAAATTTACCATTTCCATTTTCCTTGGATGCTTAAATCATTGCCATTTCCACAGCCTAGTGTTAGTACTACTGGGCTAACATTTAAATGTTTTAGAGACAAGCACATTTAGAGACAAGCACAAATGTACTGTCAGTGTGACTTTCATAGGGTAATGTTATGAGTTCAATGGACTTTTGAGCTCACTCTCCACCAAAATTAAGCCAAGGTGCCTAAGTGTACACTTTAAAGGGAAATATCAGATTTGTTTTCAGAAAAGGAGTAAAGGTCATGATTTTTTTTAACCCTCCAGAGGATATCAGACTGCCCAGTTCTAAATATTCTCAAGAAAATCACTAGCTGTATGAGCAACAGAATTACAGTTTTGTCTGATACCAAATCATCAGTTTTCAGAAGCAGATGAAAACTTCTAAACTTTAAACTACAGTAATGCGACACTAAACTAAAACTTAAAATATTGCTATGTCATTTAATAAAAATGTAAATAATAAAGATTCTTAAATGCTCTTTTGAATAATGCTATTACTATAATTGAACTCTGGAACTGAGTTCTATAATATCTTTATGTGTCTTATATACGTTTTTAGATTTAGGATATATGAAGGATTATTTAAGGTTTAAAAATTATTCCCAATAAAACATTTTTAGTATGCATTTGCAATAGAGAAATTTAGTTTACTTACCAACTTAAGAGTGATTATCAAAAGCAGACTTTTAGTGTTTGTTTTTTTAATATATTTTTATTGATTTCAGAGAGGAAGGGAGAGGGCAAGACAGAAACATCAAGGATGGGAGAGAATCATTGATTGGTTGCCTCCTGCACTCACCTAACTGCACTGCCCTGACCAGGAATCCAACCCAGTGACCTCTTGGTTCATAAGTCAATGCTCAACCACTGAGCCACACTGGCTTGGTGAGACTTTTAGTGTTTAAAAGACTTTAGAGGTGTCATTCCAAATCTCTTTTCCTTCTGCATTCATCTGCCCTACTACCTAATTTAGTTGGAATAAACAAGGTAATATTATGATTAAGATTAATCATAATCTTTAATTATTGTCTGATGCCAGGTTTTTACTTTTGTCAAACAATCATTTTTATTGGAGAGCCCTGGCTGGGTGGCTGAGTTAGTTGGAGTGTTGTCCAGTGCACCAAAAGGTTGCAGGTTCAATCACCCCTTTGGGGTGCATAAGGGAGGCAACCAATTGATCTCTCTCTCTCTCTCTCTCTCTCTCTCTCAAATCAATAAACATAGCCTCAGGTGAGGATTTTAAAAAATCATTTTATTTCAAGGAGTAAACATAAAATGTATTAATTCTGCAATTGGGTTTAAAGAATAGAAATAATTATCCTATGCCAGGTTGTCATCTCTCCCTTAATTAGAAAAAAAATAATAATAAAACAACTTGTTTCACACAGCTCAGGTTCCATCACTTCAGAAATTATTCCAAATCCACTGGAGTCTCAGAACTAGACAGATGATGGAAGGATTGAGACTCAGCTTGGCTGGAATCATCTTAATTTCTATTTATCTAATGTAAATGAGGATTGTAGCTGTCCCAAATATCTAATAAGGTCATGAAGGATAAGATGTGGTATTAAAATTGAAAATTCTCGACTGTTTAGTATGAAACAGTCCATGAAAATGTAAATTTTATTATATACAGGGTGGGACAAAAGTAGGTTTACAACTATGAGTATGCAAAACACAGAGTTTTTTCTTTTATTATTATTATTTTCCATACGAACACTGTAAGCCTACTTTTGCCTAACCCTGTATTCCAAATCCATGCAAAAGTCTTGGTTGATCTTTACTCTTCGTTTGTTATAGTCCATACTTAGGAAATTGTTCATTTGCAGATAGATGATTCATTTATAAGAGACAAGTTAAAAATTAGAAAAGTCCTCATTATTATTATAGCTCTATAACTCAGGAATTAGTGTTAGGAAATTAAACCAGAGATTTGCGCGTTCCTGGGTGGGAGTTGAAGTTTTAACTAGGAAGTTTCCTGTCCAGCTAACAAATATATTGGCTACTTGCTTGTATAAGACATATACTAGATCTTATACCATAGTATTTCTAAGTCAAAGATTGATCATAAACTTTAGAGCTTATGCGGTAGGGAAGAGTAGAGTAACTTGCTGAAAATTTCATTGCTATTAATGAGTTCAAACACAAAGTAGACAGTCTCCAAGCCTGTGCACTTAACCATTGAATTTTTACATGTTGCCCTTTTTTGTGTTTGTTTTTAATTAATAAACTTTATTTTTTGTTAGCAGTTTTAGGTTTAGAGAAAAATGGAGCAGAATGTACACAGAGTTTCTATATAACTCCTTCACTATCTTGGCATTGGTGTGGTACATTTGTTACAAGTGGTGAACGAATATTGATATATTATAAATAATAGTTTACATTAGTGTTCACTCTTTGTGTTGTACACTCTATGGGTTTTGATATGTGTATGTCATGTATCTGCCGTTAATGACATTATCATACAGAATAGTTTCACTGCCTTCCCCCCCAAATTCCCTGAGTTTGACTTATTCATCTCTTCCTCTATCTTTCTGAACCCAGGCAACCACTGATCTTTTTAATATCTCTATAGTTTTGTCTTTTCCAGAATGTCATGTTGGTTTCTTTCAATATGCATTTGTTTCATCCACATCTTTTCATGGCTAATAGCTTATTTCATTTTAGTAATAAATAATATTTAATTGTATGGATGCACATCATTCTGTTTATCTGTTCACCCATTAAAGGATATCTTTCAAGTTTTGACAATTATGAATAAAGCTGCTGTAAAAATTCATGTGAGGTTTTTTTTTAAATCATGGATATTTTCTATCTTTTATTATGATATGAACACTTAACATGAGATGTAACCTCTTGAAAAAAATTTAAATGTATAATATATTATTGTTGGTAGCTCCCTATAATATAAGATGTTCATATCTTTTTTTTAAGATTTTTAATTGCCGAAACCGGTTTGGCTCAGTGGATAGAGTGTCGGCCTGCGGACTAAAAGGTCCCGGGTTCGATTCCGGTCAAGGGCATGTACCTGGGTTGCGGGCACATCCCCAGTAGGAGATGTGCAGGAGGCGGCTGATCGATGTTTCTCTCTCATCGATGTTTCTAACTCTCTATCTCTCTCCCTTCCTCTCTGTAAAAAATCAATAAAATATATTTAAAAAAAAAAAAGATTTTTAATTGATTTTTGGAGAGAGAAGAAGGGAGAGAGAGAGAAACATCAATGTGAGAATAACATCAGATCAGCTGCCTCCTTGCACGCCCCTTACCAGGGATCAGCCCCCAACCCAGGCTTTGCCCCTGACTCAGGAATCAAATCAGCAACCTTCTGGTGCACGGAAGAACATCCAACCTACTGAGCCACATCAGTCAGGGCTGTTCAGCATCTTTTCATATGCCTATTTTCCATCTGTACATCTGTATTTCTTTGGTGGGTTGTCAGTTCAGATCTTTGGTCCATTTTTTGATTGCAGTGTTTGTTTTTTTATGAGTTCTTTTTGTATTTTGGATACCAGCTCTTTATCAGCTACATGTTTTGCAGATATTTTCTTCCACTCTATGAATTATCTTTTCATTCCCTCATGTTGGTTTTTTAATGCTTCTGATTTATAACTCTAGTTTGCCTTTACACAGAGAATGACACTAAAAAAAGCATTAACCTGTTTTATAAAACCATGGCTGAATCGTAAATGAGTACTATAATGAAGGAGAGTGTAAAATATTATACAGTGGGGCCTTGACTTACGAGTTTAATTCGTTCTGAGACCGAGCTCGTTAAGGAGCTCGTTAACTCAAATTACTCTGTCAACTCAATGCAAAAAATCGGCGGAGAAACAGCTGGTATCTCAAAAAACTCGTTAGTCGGGACACTCCTAAGTCAAGGCCCCACTGTACCTGTAAATTAGGGTAAGACTGAGGTTTAGCATACAACAAGGAAAAGACAAATACTTAAGGACTATGCTGTCTACTGGTAGCATTCAGACAATTAAGCAAGACATTATGTTTATATCTTTTTTTGTCATATAAATTTTTTAAATTTTTAGTCAAATGACGTAATGATTTTTGAGATTTTTACATACCTAGAAAAACCTTCCTAAATCCAAGATTCTAAAAAACAAAACAGTGTTTTCCCCATAATCTTTTGTATGTGACTGTAAATGTTCTTTTTTTAATAACAGTGTTATTGAGATATGTTACATACCACACAGTTCACACTATCTAAAGCAGTGGTTCTCAACCTTCCTAATGTTGCGACCCTTGAATACAGTTCCTCATGTTGTGGTGACCCCCAACCATAAAATTATTTTCGTTGCTACTTCATAACTGTAATTTTGCTACTATTATGAATCGTAATGTAAATATCTGATATGCAGGATGTATTTTCATTGTTACAAATTGAACATAATTAAAGCATAGTGATTAATCACAAAAACAATATGTAATTATATATGTGTTTTCCAATGGTCTTAGGCGACCCCTGTGAAAGGGTCGTTCGACCCCCAAAGGGGTCGCGACCCACAGGTTGAGAACCGCTGATCTAAAGTTTTTAGTATATTCACCAAGTTGTGCCATACTACAGTGTATTAGAACATTTTCATCACCCCAAATAGAAACCCCATACCCATTAACAGTCACTCCTAAACCCCTCCAGCACCAGACCACTAATCTACTTTCTATCTCTATAAATTGGTCTATTCTGAATATTTCATATACATGGAATATTCATTATATATGTGGGTTTTTTGTGGCTGACATTCACTTAGCATAATGTTTTCAAGTTTCATCCATGTTGTAGCACATATCACTACTTAATTTCTTTTCATTGCTGAATGATATTCCACTTATGGATATATTTTTATTTATCAATTCACTAATGAACATTTGAGTTGTTTTCACTTTTTGGCTGTTATGAATAATGCAACTATGAACATCTGTGTACAAGTTTTTTGTGTAGACTTATGTTTTTATTTATCTTAAGTATATACTTAGAAGTGAATCATATGGAAACTCTATGTTTAATATTTTGAGAGACAGTCAGACTTTTTTTCAAAGTGGCTGTACCATTTAACATTCCCGTAACAGTATATGAAGGTTCCAATTTCTCCACATGCTCATTATCACTTTTTATTATCTGCCTTATATAAAGTGGTAACTTGTTATAGTTTTTATTTGTATTTCCAGGATGGTTAGTGATGTTGAGCATCTTTTCATGTGATTAGCAGCCATTGTATATCTCCTTTGGAGAAATATCTAATTAGATTCTTTGTCTGGTTTTAATTGTTGTTGTTTTTTTGTTAATATTAGAAATGAATTCTTTATATATGCTAGATACAAGTCCCTTATCAGAAATATAATTTGCAAATAGTATTTTCTCCCATTTCATGAGTTATTTTTTTACTTTCTTAATAATATCCTTTGAAGCACAAAAGGTTTTCATTTTGACAAAGTACAGCTTATCTATTTTTTCTTTTGTTGCTTTTGTCATTGCTAAGTAACCACTGTTCCAAGGTGACAAAAATATACACCCAGGTGTGGGAGTATTTTTTTTTTAATTTATAGTTTTAGTTCTTATATTTAGGTCTTTGATCTTTTCTTAGTTACTTTGTATCATCATAATCTTTATTTTTAAATTAAAAAAATAATTTTAGATGTACAGAAGAGTTGAAAAGATAGCACAGAGTTCCCATAAAACCTTTGCTTAGATTAACTTCTTACATGACTATAATATAATTATCAAAACTAAGAAATTAACATTGATACAATACTGTTAAACTACATACTTTATTCAGCTTTCCTTGGTTGTTATAGGATCCAATCCAGGTTACCAGATGTTCTTAGTTGTCTAGTTCCTTAGTCTACTTTAGTGTGACAGTTTCTCTGCCTTTTCTAGTCTTTCATGACCTTGACACTTTCGGAATAGACTGGCCTGGCATTTTGTGGAATGTCCTTCAATCTGAGTTTGTCTGGTGATTTCTCATGACTAGACTGAGGTTATAGATTTGGTGGAAGGGTACCACAAATACAGATTACATTAGAGGTTGTTGCCCAGGAATTGAGAAAGTTCCCACCTAATTGCTTCTCTCTTTCTATGAGGTTTGACATACTAGATTATCTGCTCCAGGTAAGGGAAGAAGGAGATGGAGTTGAAGGTTTAAGGACAACAGAGGTTTAATAACTTTCTTGCAGATAAATGTTTTCATACTTCTGTTTATTTCCATTAAATTCTATTTGCTAACTCAGATTATGTATACATTTTTTTAGGCTCAGAAAATATTGCTATATATGAGAGCCAATCTAATTTTAAAAGAGGCTGATTATAAAACCCATTTTTGCCAATATTGTTCCAACATAATTATTAATACTAGCCTTTATTACTCTCAAAAGTAGCTAGTTTGGATTATAAATTATATGGTCATCCTATTTATAGGTTAAACTTGACATGAGCTAGATTGAATAAATTAGTTTATTAGCTACTTTAAATATTATAATTTGAAAACATTGCTTTATGAGAAAAAAAGCTAACTGAATTGTTCATCTATGAAAGGGTACAGTCTATTTCAGTTTATGTCACAACTAATAGCTCTACAGCACAGATCAAACTGTTCCCTGAATGTCTGCAGTTTTTATAGGGTCAGAATATAAACAAGTCTCCAAATATAAGGCATCATGTGTAATCATGCAGTTTTAGGTCATGAAGGTACCTTAGACCTGTGACCCTTTATTTTTTTGGACGAGGAAACAAATCAAGTAATTTGTTTAAGGTGTTAGGGCTAATTAATAGAAAATTAACCAGAAACCAGCTCTGATCCTCAATCCTAGATTTTTTAAATATATTTTTTCAGTCTATTTCTGAGAAAAGCTAATTGAAAAAATAATAATGTTCATAATTTTTGTGCAGCATATCAGTGCTTTCATGCCTTAAAAATTAAGAAAAATTATCTACCTCTGTGTGCTACAAGATGGGCTTCAACTTCCGTTGTACCTCGAATTACTACCCACTATACTATTTATCCCCGGGATAAGGACAAACGATGGGAAGGTAGGTAATAATTTGTGCAAAATTGTTGAGACTTTATAGATACTTTGTATCATTTTGTAGAGGGAAATATTTTTCATGGTACTGTAAAAATATCTAATAATACATAGATTTATAAAATCATATATTATTTCGAAAAACAAATATTTGCTAAATTTATAATAATAAATCTCAAAGCCAAAAGTTCATTTATGGAAGCAAAAATAAAACATGCACTGGAACCAGAAGTAAGACAACATACAGTTAATACAGTAATATCTTTAGTACACTTCTCATGCAAAGGATAGGGGCAGTTTTTGAAAATAATA